TTGACCTTATATTCTGTGGTTTATCTACATTAAGGTTCCTCTTTTCACTTCTAAGACTGTTTTCACTCTCTCTCTCTTGCTCACTCTCTCTACTTGTACCTCTGTCTCTCTAGTTAATCAAGTTTGCCAGATGTTTGTATATTTGGTTAGTCTTTCAAGGACTCATCTTTTGCTCTGTTAACCTTCTCTAATATTACCTTCCATTTCATTTAATTCATATTTTGTAATACGTTGTATTATCCCTTCCCTTTATTTGAGTTAACTCTACTATTATATCTATACCTTTTGGGTTGCATGCCTAACTCATTAATAATCAAACTTCCTTCAATTCTAATTTATCCATTTATTAATCTATAAATTTTCCTTTATGTACATCTGTAACTGTAACTCCTAAGACTTAAGATAAAGTATCTATTAATTTCTATCATCACTTTTCTTTGACTCAAGAATTACTTAGAATTCTGATCTTAAATATCAAATGTATGGAACTTTTTATGTGTATTGGTTTTTGGACTCCTAAATATTTTCTCTGAGATAAACAATACAACCAATATAAATTTTAAGGTTTTCTATGTATGCATATTCTCTGCTAATGGAGTTCAATGTTCTATATAAATATCTATTTGATCAAGTTAATCCATTATATCATCTAATTCTCCTTTATTCCTAATTTTTTGGGCTTTATTTGATTTATCAGTGTCTCAGAGAAAATGTTTAAAACTCCCCAATTATGATTACTTATGTTCTCAACACTATGGATTGTATAGTGTTGACAGTGATTCTGTCAATTGTTATTTTTTAAACGATGCTACTAGGTAATGTTGGTTCAGGATGAATATATCTTCCTGGTGAAATGTTCTTTTATCATTAAACAATAACTCTAACTGTAATACTACCTTCTGTTTAAAGTACATTTTCTGATATTAATACAGTGTCACCAGTTTTCTTTTGAAAAGTATTTGCATGGTATATTATATCAATTTCCATCTATTTTTTTTCAATCTTCCCATGCCATTGTCCTTAATAGGGCAACCCTTGTAAACAGTTTGTAAAGAGAATCTAGTTGTTTCCCCTTCCCCATCCAACTTAAGAATCTTTGTCTTTTGACAGCTGAAATTAATCATTTTTATATTTGTTTTGATTCCTGGTGTATCTAGCCTTATTTCAACCATCAAATTGTTCTACAATTTCCCAACAGTCAGGGATTATCTAAATGTATCAAGCACTACACACTACAGCAAGCATTGCTGAATCTAGCATAGGCTCATAATTTAGCTATTCTCAATAAGTCATTTCGACACATTAAACACATTAGAAAACTATACTCTGTTAAAGTTATAAGATAATAAATTCTTATACAAACAATGCACAAAATGCCTAAATTAAGGTGGCTGATCAACTACTCTTATTTCTTTACATATAACATGAATATAAAAGAATCTATTTGTCATCTACCCTTCATATTGCTGTACTTCTCTCTCCCCGATTCAATTTTTCATTTCTGTCTGATGCAGCTTTCGTTCTGTGTCTTCTTCCTCCTACTCCAGGCTCTCATCACCTCTGACCTAGACAATTGAATTAGTATCTTTTCTCTACCTGCCTTCATCTTAATACTTTCTACTCCAATTCACCCTCTAGTTACATGAGGGCCTTGTATGATAAGGAGCTAAGAAATTTGAACTTCACCCTACAGATCAGCGTCTCTCAAACAAAAAATCCAAGGCTACTGTCATGGCTCCAAACATTCTGTGAGAATTTTTTTTTGATTTGTGGTTTTGTCCAATTAACATTCTAAAGAATCTAAATGACAGCCTGATAACTGAGCTGTGCTTTCCAATAGCAGTGCCTGAGTTTGTCCTTTAGTCCCCCATTGACTCTGTTCTGCTCTTAGTGTCACTGGCACCAAACAATCACCTAAAGCGACAGCTTTTACCTTCCAATGTGTTGGCAGGCACATCTGGCTCTTCGGTAGGCATGCCCTAATGCTAACATTGTCCCACATCTGCCACTGTGCTCTTTAGTGGAGATGATTTGCGATTGAAAGATATTGTCATCAAATAAGACTTTAATTTAGTCAGTTATTTAATTAATGGAGACTTTGATATGACATCATAAAAACTCATAGTGTGGCAGAGTAATGGTCTATTTTAATTGTTATGGGCTAATGAGAAAAGAACAAAGGCAGAATTAATATGTAAAAGATGTGTTTATGTCAAACAAAAGCCAAATGACATAATGGGACACTGTACAGGAGAAGGTTTCCCAATCTCGCAAATAGAGAAAAGTGGTAAGAAAATTGAGTCCTCATATGGCTCAGAGTAGCAAGGCCATGCCGGATCAAAAGAGCCTTTATCACAGTAGTCAATATACTTTGTTTAATGTTCATTTATCAAAAATATGTTAAATGCTCGGCCAATAAATGCTGAGTGCTAAGCACTGTTCTAGGCACTGAGGACACAGAAGCAAACAAGACAGGCAAAATCCCTACCCTCATGGAAGTTAAACTCAGGCAAGACAATGAACAAATTAATATGAATGTATAACATGATGTCAGCTAGTGAGAAGTCCTATAAAGAAAAGTAAAGTAGGGTAAGACACAATGACAGCAGAGGAGGACAGCTATCGTAGGCAGGAGAGATTCTCTGAGGAGACGACATGTGAGCGGAAATGTGAATGCACTGGGGAAGCGAGGCATAGGGGAGAAGGCTTCCAGACAGAAGCAGCCGCAATGCAAAGATGCTGACGTGGGAATGAGCTGGACATATATGAAGCATATCAAGAAAACCAGGGTGACCAAAACCAGGGTGACCAGACCAAAGGGATAAAGAAAAAGGGTGATGAGATGAGGAGAGAAAGTCAAGCATGAGCCAGACCTTGAAGGGCGTCAAGGCTATGGCAGAGACTGGACTGACTTCTGAGAATGATGGGGAGCTACTCCAGGGCTTTATGCAGTTCACACAGAGTGCTGAAAAGGGAAACAGAGATGGTGAGTACAGAAACAGACAGGAATGTAGATCAGCTACAGAACATGAGGCAGTTTGCTCCGATTGTTTCTGTTTCTGCAATGAAATATGAAGTGTGGGAATCAGCTGAGTGGGACACCTGCACATGGGAGCTGGAGGTCAGAAGTAGAAGTGAAGGTATAAAATAGTTATCTCAGGGGGTAAATGATGCAGGGCTGCCAAGTGGAGCAGAGAATCCACTTGAAATTTGTGGACATAAATGTAAAGTGAGCAGTTCAGCACAGTTTTATGTTCATTCTTGCCCATTCATCCACAATCAGCACTGAAGTGGACAGAAAGCTAAGAGAGGGCCAGAGCTGAGCCAGATGAGGATGAGAGAGACACACACACAAAGGGGAGATTAACCAAAGCACCTACGCTGGGTGAGGTGGGAAGTGAGGGCATGAGAGGGATGAAGAAAAGCACCTAAATGCTGCAGGTCCCTAGACAGAAGCCCCACAGGTCACAGCATACCTGCTGGAATAAGAGGGCTAGCGTCACTTGAGGAGATAGCCTTGGAAAGACAGGAAGTGGCGGTCAGAGAGGGATGCTTTGAAACACACTTTGAAGGTTAGTATAATGTTTCTAAACAAGGCAACCAAGGCATTGGAAGTAAAACACTTCTTCATTGTACAGAACTGTCTCGGGTACTACAGGCCAATTAGTATCCTTGGTTCCTGCCTTTTCAAGGCTAGCAGCACCTCTTACATTTGCAAAAACTCCATTGGAGAGTGATGCTTTCTAGACTGAGAGCCACAGGTCTGGATTATAATCATGATGCAGAGAAAGAGACATTTGCAAGTGAGAAAATCAAGGAACTAAGAAAGGAAATGTTCTATGTGGATTTTTTTTTTTCACCAGGAATGATGGCAGGAGAGTGAGGGGCATAAAAACAGAGAACTAGGAGTTAAAAACTTCAATAAATGCAGAGAAGTAGGCAGTAGGATAGTAGGAGGTCATGTATTTTAAAAGTGCTTCTATGGATGAAAAGGAAAAAAGCAGTCTAGACGTGGCAAATGAGGATAAAAGGATCCTGACTCCACTCCAGATTTTGAAAAAAAAAATAGGGGTGACAGGGAAAAAAATATCCTTAGTGGGTAGCCAAGAGTGTCAGAGCAGCACTGCCCAATAGAACTTTCTACAATGATGGAAAGGTACGTCTAGGCTGTCTAATAAGATAGCCAATTGCCACATATGCCTATCCAGCCCTTGAAATTAGGCTAGTGGAACAGAGGAACTGAATATTTTACTGTGTTTTATTTAAATTAATTTGAATGCAAGCAGCCACATGTGCCAGTGGTTACCAAACTGGACAATGGAGAAGAGTAAAATGTGAAGGGAACATTCAGAAAGCAGCTTGAAGACACAGGAAATTGTTACTCTGAGTCTTGAGTAAAGGGGGACAGGGAGATGTGACTTTAGGTAAGCTTGTGAGTCTGGAGCAGGAAGGGGAGAGACGTCATATTGGATAGCATCAGTATTTTCAATAAGCAGGATTCAAAGTACTCATTTTAATTCATTTCTGCCTCAAAGACCAACTTTTATACCTTCTTGTGATGGAAGACACCTGAGGAAATCTCATTCAAAGTCTAAAATGTCACCACCATGTCAGAATCCCTTCTCTTAAGAAGCATCTGGCACTGACTCTGACTATTGCCTGTCTTTCTGGGACCTAAGTGTCCCTTCTCCAAAGACTGGCTTAGTTTCTCTATGAAAGTAATTAAAAAATGTAACTTCTGAAAATTCCCAGTTAAAATATTCTACTATTTAGAAACCATGTTTCTTATATTTTTGTGTTTCTACTAAAGAATATAAAGAAAATTGTTCTATGTTATCCAAAGTGAAGAAAAAGTATTTTAATTGGCTGTAGCCATAAGCCTATAGTTTGTGCCTTAAAAAAAAATAATAAAGAAGAGTTCACCCCTATGTTTACCTCACCACACACAGACTTCTGGAATGCCTGTGGCTATGCCCTTAGAGGTTCAGCTGCAAACTTACCAGCAACAACTCTGTCCATCTGTCCTCACCAACCAAATAAACAATGCCAATTGGAGCCAGAACCACTCACCCAATGGAAGACTCCCAGGTTCTGGCAGGCGGCACGCAGAGTTCAAGTGATAGCTGAATATTGCTGGACACTACATTTCATTGGGAATAAAGGAATAATGAAATACTTCTGATTAGTTTCTGTCTTTTAATCTTCCCAATTTCCATTTTAATTGCAATCAAAATATCAAAACACTCTCTGTCCCCAGAGAGGGGATACAGTCCTTGCTTTAATAGACCTTAAAATACATAATTAAGAAACAACCTCTGTGGGACTAATCAGCACAGCCCTATAACTGGTCAGATTCTAGTGGACAAAGGTCAATTTCTCTTGGGTTCGAGGCAAAATCTTACGCTAAGTGTCCTCGCCTAGACCAGACCCTATGACGTGTCCATTTTGGCCCCTTTATCTTTTAGGCTGATTCAGCCCTCAGGGAGTCTACTACATTAACCATGCTTCTGAACTTCAGGGACTGGCCAGAGTGCAGCGAAAGTATCAAGAAATGAAGAGCCCACAGATGTCCACAAAGTCCGTGAGGATGATTCTATAAGATGCCCAGACATGGATCCACTTTGGGTCCAGGATACAGATTTATGCTTCCATCATAAAGAATTCCATATTTTCTAGTATTTCACCCAGTGTCAAACTAAGAGACTATTCCTGTGTTTCCCTTTGGTTTCCCCTGATGGGACTTTGATAAACAGGGAAGCTAAAAAGTATCTTGGTCCTGGACTATTAACACCAGTTAATTATTCTGTTCTGTGGCCAATGCCAAAAACAGTCATCTTATAACTTGATCGCATCAGGAACCAGAAGACTCAACAGGAGAAGAGCTGAACAGAATGTTTAAAGTCAGACCCAGCTACTGAGGAGAAACCTGACAAGTCACCTTGAAGAGCAGCAAAAAGAAACTGATTAATTCCTGCTGCCTCTCTCTGTCCACAAGCCCCCTCTGGTGGAGGACTAATAGGTAATGAAATAGCTATAGGTAACAATAACCAAAACTTAAAGGAAGAAAAGGCAATCCTCAACAAGACAATTAGCCTCTGTAGAGCTAAGAGTCAGACGGAGTGATTAGCAAATATGAGCTGCAACTGGAAACTCTCTTACAGATGAAGCAGTATAATGAACGATGTAACCAAAAGGTCAACACTGCTCTTTCATCTTCACCACCCATCAGTTTCCATCACTTTCAATTTGTCTGGCACATAACTGGGAGTAGGTCATAAAATACTCACCATAAAAATTAACCGTATTTTGAAACATTAAAAAAGAAACATATAGTTGGATATATATTCTAAGCATATGGGCAAGATTCTCAATTAGGATTCCACATATACATTAGAAAAAGCATTGACATTTAAAACTCTGTTATAAGAGTTGGTGTATTCAGCAAGTAACAGAACTCTTTGCCCTATGCTCTGCTTTCCCGATACACTGTCGGTCCTCAGACTAGGGAAGGCGTCATTAATCCCCTCCCAAAGACCAAAGCAAAGATGGCAGGAGGGGGTCAGGTGTTCCCCTTTTCCTCCCCTGGAAGCCAAACTTCTCTACAGTCTCTGCTTTTAGCTGGTGTGGACACCCAGCTTTCAGGCTTTCAACCTCAACATTCCTACAATACATCCTGACAGATGAGCAGTGAGATGAACTACCTTCACACTCTCATTTGACAAACTTTGTACAAAAAGAAACACAATGCCAGATGAAAACATATTTTAAGGCTGGAGGGATTCTAAAAATTAACATTTCTACAAACTGCCAGATCCCTGAACCCAGACCTGCAGAACTCATTAAGCCATTTTAACTGAACCAATTAAATTGATTACATCAGAAAATGGGTTGCTTCCTTCCTTCCTGTCTCTGAATTTACCAACTGCTTCTTTGATTTTGCCAAATCACTAAGATATTTTGCATTTTGTATATATTATCTAAGTTATTTGAGTTATTAGAGAATCCCTCTCCCCAGATTCTGTGTAAAGAAAGTACCTAAATATCTGATTATTTATTTATATTGTTATCTGCAGATTTTTTAAAAGGAAGAATCAGCATGAAAGAAAAAAGGTCAAGAGTTCTGAAAAAGATACAGCTGCAAGGATATTTACTACCACACTATTTATAATAGTAAAATCTGGAAAACCTAAGTTTCAAACAAAAGATGTTCGATGTAATTATGGGACAGCCATAAAATAGACATTGGTGGATAGGGTAGATATTGAAAATTAAGTAGTGGAACATTTAATAACATGAAAAAAAAAAGATTCCTGGTATTATTAAGAGGGAAAACATCACAAAAGCAGTAGGTGTAGTATTATCATGTTTATTGACAATGATTCTATTTGGACACTAAAATTGAAAGTCCAGCAAGCATCAATTGACCAAACCATCCTTCATTCATAAACCACTCTCTCCAGGACCCAACATCTAGGAGTGGTTCTATAAAATGACATATGAGGATATCATCTGCTGGGTGATACGTTTTGTCCTGATTAAAAGGGACAGATTAGTCTAACGGGCCTCATTTTGTGTAGTTTATCTATTCCACACTGAATCAGTAGATCCATCCATGACCACAGACTGCATTTCAGCCAACGATGACAGTGGAAGAAAGACAAGACCTAGCAAACAGCTGTTAGATACCACAAGAAACAACTGCAACTTGACCCATTTATTCACTGTTTAATCATTAGTTTGATGCCCATGTAGGCAAAATCAAAGAATAGTCCTGAGGAGTCTATGGAGTTTTACTGAAATGAAGTTAAGACTTTGGGTTGTGTGCAGAATAACATGTACCATTCCTAGAGTAATGTAGCCATACTGCCTCTTGAAAGCTGAAAGATCACTCTCAACATACTTTAATAGAATAAGCACAGGCATGTTTCTCAGCCATTTAGATCCTAAATAAGTAAATAAAGGATCAGATCATATCAATAACTAACAAATATCAATATGGCCTAGATTTACACATACCTCTTATTAGAACAACTACCATTTATACTGTTGCAATCTGTTTGTACATCTGCTTGCCACTAAACTATAAATTCCCTAAAGGCAAGGACCATTTCCTTTCATTGTTGCTAAGAATGCCCAAGACTTCTCCTTTCTCAGGACTTAGCACCAAACTTAGATTCCAACTCTAAATGCCTATTAAACATGACAGCAATTTAGACTCCAAGTCTTTCTGCAATCTAAGTCATTCTACTTAAAAAAAAAAGCCAACAACTTTTTAACATTTCCAAAATACCCTGAAAGGAGGGGAAAATCATATACTAAATTCTTTCATGAGGAAAAACATTTTCCTCCTCAAGCCCTGACTAATCAGAAATGACTGGACTTGGCAGCTCCTTTTATCGCTTGGTCTGTAAAGCTAAACTCAGCTCCTATTGTGCCAGTTGGCAAATGCCAACATCTCTTCCCATCTCATACAACATCCTGTCCTACCAATTGTTCTAGACTATGGCAAACTTGTGTGACCACTTCCCATTAGATCAAGTAGAAATTATAAACCAAATTCACAGGTAGCACCATTACAGAGGAGCAATCATAGAGTTAAAAGAAATTAGAATGTGCCAGCCTTAATATTATTGATTCCCCACTGGAAATTTCATGGAAAGATACTTACTGCAGTTACATAAAGAGCATCTGTCTGCTTTCCAACTCTTGTCTTCAAGTTAAAAAAAAAAAAGAAAAGAAAAAGTAAAATCAACCAAGAGGGATATGAGACTAGAAATTAGTGGATAGGATGCAAAGGTTTTCTCCAGAATGAGAAGCCTTCATCACTATACCCTAAATATGGAAATCTGCTCCCGTGGAATCCAATACATTTATTTATTGAGCCTTACCACTGTCATCCTGGTAACCCAGAGAAGAAGCCAATCTATAATAACTCAAGCCACATTTCACAATAGATTTCAAAGGACACATGATGTCATTTGCTAAAATGACTCAATCCAGATGGAAAGCATTCTGACCTATATGTAATTGATTGACCTTTGCTATGCTTTCTTGGTTATTTATATACTATCATATGCATGAATGTGTATCAGTGGTATTTACACTTGGCAGCTCTTTTTGAGAATACATTATTCAATTGGGATTTGAAGCTTTTAACAACCATTTCCTGACCAAACATCCACAAGTGAAGGACAAGAAAAGATATCATCTTAAAAATAATATTTAATAGGCTCTGGAAACTCTAAAACAGCTTTGTTACTCAAATTGTTTTAAATCACAGCAGACAAGATCTATCTCTGTAAAGCTGAGTTCAAAATCCTGAAAGTGAGGATATTAAAGGGCATTTTATCCATATTCTACTTTGGGGCTCAATAATGGTGGTAAAATATGCTTTACCAAAGTAGTGAAATATTGTGGATACTTGTGAGAAAAGCTTCCTGTGGTGCAGGTAATTAGAAACCATAATAAGTAAGCAGAGAAAAGCATACAACTATGCGATGCTCTTTGACTTTGTAACTTAATATGGAATTTGATTTTCCAAAAGGGGTAAGCCACAAATTAAACAATGTTCAGATGATCAAGATGGTTTCAAGGTAATCACAGAAGGAAAGGCAGGTGGAGACTCTAGATTTGGGAAGGCAAATATGCAGCATGCGTGTCCTCCCTCCCGTTATGCACACCCGGGGCAGTCATCAGTAACTGGCCACTGAATTCGTACCCCAAGAGCTATGACACAGACTCAAAACACTTTTTCACAATACTCCAGACAAGCACTACCAAATAAAGGGAATTGGAACATGAAGTGAACTATATTTGCCATTGCTGAAATGAATAATCACACAGTTCATTTCAGTCCCAATACATACTAAAATCAAAAAGATTGATGCTATTATGAACTCTTCATCATTCAGTACTCCTTCATCTGCTCACCTAAACTTTCACTGATCTGAAAGTACTTTCATTGGCATATATTGCTACTCCATATTAATAATGTAATTAAATAGAGAGGGTTGCACATTATATAATGGTCAAATTAATTCTATCTTTTGCTGCCATATACTCTAAAACCCAATCTAAAACTACAAGATTTTTAAAACCAAAATTTAAAAGCATCTCTTTGAGTCCTAGAAAAGCTTTAAA